TGTGGGCAGAAGGTCTTTTCCTCAGCCACATCACATCAGGTGGAGGAAACCCAACATAGGCGTGGGCAAAGCCTTTCATATTCAAACCGCTATTGTTCAAACTCTCCTTTGAGCTTCTCTTCAAAGGGGAGCAGCTGTTGATTGAAGCGCACGTTGCCCAACCCAAACTGGTGTTGACATGTAAGGTCGGAAAAGGCGAGCTTTGGCTGGTTTGCAAGCTTAGTGAGGCTGTAGAACATACGGGATCCCCTTTAAACTATCTGAGTTCAAACCAAAGAGGAAGTCACCCTCAAAGCCAAATCCCAGTAGCACATCCCCCCCCCCCAAAAAAAAAAACACCTTGCAAGCAACGATCAGGCTGCATGTTCTACACTCGCTTCCGTCCCCGGTGCGAAAACAAACAAATCGCCCACACCTGGCAGCCAACTCCCTGGCGCCCAGTCTCCACTGGAGTGGCTGTCACTGGTCTCACTCTCCACGTAGTGCCCATACGGCGTGTTGCGGCGGTTGCTTCCCCTGAAGCTACGGCCCCCCATCACCTGGCGTGCCAAACCTCCATGTGTTTAAGAAAACAAGAAGTAGGGCTCCCGCAAAACCCACAGGGGAAAATACAAACAAACGCACATGGAAAGAAAAAGGTTTGGCACGGAATTATGTTCAGCCCACCTGGAGGCACGGAATTGAGCTATCAAAGGATCCCCGGTATGCTAGAAATAGGGGGTGCAAGTCTCGGAATGTACCTAAGACCGTTTTAAATAGAGAGGGACTTGGCCGAACACCCACAAGAGCCTGGCATTGGGCAAATGTTCAGGGCTAAGCGCATGGGCCTTTTTGTTACCCTCAAACGCGTCGAGTATTGCTCTATTGCTGCAATATTGCAACAACAACAAATATTGCTCCGAAAGAACTGCAACTCTCCAAAACTCCAAGATGCCAACTAAACCTCCAACAACCCCCTAAGAACTGACCGCTTTTCTTACAGATTTCCTGGCTCAAAACTAAACCCAAGAAAACGTCCGGCCCGGCCTCGGGGGACCAGGTCAGGTCTTTCTTGTTGGGGCTCTTCTTGCTCTGCTTGTTCACCCGCCGCAGCTGCAGGACCAAGGTGGCCCCAGCTAGAAACACCTATCGGAAGCGGCGCGGTTTCTCGGGTTTTTGCGGCAAAGGAAGGACCCCGAAACGCACTGCCTAAGCGGATTGGCCAAAAATCAGTCCAAGCTTTTGATTTACCCTAAAGTTGACTTCAACAAAGTTCAGAGTGCAGGAACTCAGGGAGTTCGCCGTGGTGAAAGAGATATTTGCATATGTTTGCCTGGCACCGCTTGCCAGACAAGCCAACGTTGCGTCCCTTGTCACTGGCCATATCCTCCCTCCCCCAGGAGCTGTGAGCCAAACATGTCAAAAAGGCAAGTCCAACAAACAGCTGGCAATGCGTATGCGGAAAAGACAATCAAAAAAAACACACACACCAAACAAAAACAACATGCGGCGGCCCGCTGGCACCAGGGTCAAACCAAAATGCCGGATCCAGCATCTATCGCTTTGGACCGGGCTACTTGCCCAAGGCATAGGCTGCAAGGTGGTGAGAAGGTAATCAGGGGGGTCTGTTTGCTGCCTTTGGTGGGAAGATTGGCGACCCCTCAAAAAGGAATCCTTCACTACAAGGGGGGTCGATCATTTTTCCAAAGGTGGCAAGAAGACCCCCCTGAAGGTAATTGGCAAGCCAAAGGTCGGCGCTTCTGCCGAAAAGAAATGCAACTCCAAGACCTGAAACGGGTACCCGACATGGAACGCTAAACGGAGGCAAGAACTACAGGCTGCAGTCCCCCTGGGTGTAATTTTGACCCAAGCACAAGTCAGACAAACAAAACAAAAAAAAGCAAAACAAATCCTTTCCTTCTACCCCTTCAAGGATTTCGCAGGAACAAAAACCAAGCAAACTAAAACCTTTCTGGCCAGAGCTCCTATCCCGAGATTCGGTCGAATCGAACTCATCGAGTCGCACTCGCCTCTTGCTCGCCCTCGCGGCTCTGCACTTGGCCCCGGCGGCCATCCGGCAACTCCAGGGACAGCGACGGCTCCTGCGAGGACCCTGGGGGATGCCGGCTGCTGGATTCCGACCAACTCCTCCAGAAAAAAAATTCGGGGCTCCAGGGCTTCATGCAGAGTCTGTGCACTTCCATGTTGGTTCAAGGGCAACATGTGTCAGTCTAGTGCCAGTCATGACTAAAACCCATTGAAATGTCCGGGCCAGTCCAAGCCAACACCCCATTTGCAATGGAAACTGTGCCGCCTCTAGAAGAAACACAAGTACTGGGTGATATACCAAAACCTGATGGAGTTGCAAGAAGATGCTGATTAGTTTGACTACTTTCGAGCCAGAGCGTATGAGCTGAGCTCTCACCCAGAACTTTAGAAATCTGTTCAAAAAATCACCCAGAGCAGTAACATTTCGCCTGACAAAGGGTGCCACGAAGATGAAATTGATCTTCCAGGCACCCTGCCTACGCCATGTTTGTGGGAGGAGGGGTACTTCATATATATATATATATAAATAAAAAAACGGGTCCGTGGATCCGCTCCCTTGAAGCCTGGATGAGCCTGGCCGGACCAAAACTCGTTGTCGCCTGGGGCAGGTGGAGGTGCAGCGTGTTGCCCTCCGCCCAGGCCATGGATCCCACCTGGGAGGTCCGCCGGGTCTCTGGTCATGGGGCCGGGTGGCGGGGCGAAGAAACCGGACGCGCGGAAGTGTTTTTTTTTTTGGGGGTGGGAGTGGGGGGAGAGGGGGGGGTAGCGGTTGGTAAGACCAAAAGGAGTTGAACAGGTGATAGCTGCATCGAGATGGAAGTCTTGTGCTGTTGCGTGCGCTTGTGCGCTCCAGGGAAGCTACTTTCGATTGGAAGTTCAAGGGAAGATCCAGCGCGTGCGAACCAACCTCCCAACCTCCCGCCTTAGCGCCGCTCCGCTCCTCCCGGAAGGTGACGCTCGCGGATGCGGAGAGGCCTTGGGAGGTCTTAGCCACCACCTCGGAGGCTTCGGCTCGGCACGCGTCCAGGAGCATCCCTAGTAAAGCGGGGGGTGGGGTGGGGTGGGGTGCTGAGCTTGCCTAAAGTCAGGGACTGGACCTAAAAAACCAAAGGATCCTGACCTTACCTATGAACCCCAAGCGAAAGAGTGCCTCGATGGCATACGATGCTCATGGACCCACCACCACAGTACCACAGTGTATGGTCCCGTGGCGGGAAGTCGCACCTTTCCCATCCCAAAAATGGACTTGGCGTGTCACAGAAAAATGGCCCGAACAGCTCTGACACCCGTAGTTCCCACAGCTATGCCACAATCGGCCGCGGCATCGCTTCCAGACAAACTGGGGAGGGCGGCGTCACCTAGTAAACATTATTCAAACCCTTGTTGGGGCCTCCCAACTTGGATATGTGGAAACCGCTGGCAACAAGGGCCCTTCATTCTGGGTTTCGCCCGATTGGTGAGCTCGTCTGCCCAGATCCATCTAGGTGCAAGAGAGTGGCGATGAGATGGACACCTGGCTTCGGCCTCAGACTCACAGCTCCGACTGAGTCTTACTTGCCCGCAAAATGGTTTGGGTATGGATAGGGTTACAAACCCGGTGGCTTGTGACCCGATGTATAAGCAAACCATCCGGAGGTGGCCAGCACAAGCGGCGACTGAGTCACCATCGACACCTACCAAAGTGGTCTACCAAACCCCGGGCAAAGAATCAAGAGGGCGGACCTCCGCAACCGTTGGAAGGTTGGGACTCTCCCTCACTGCTCTTCACTTACACCCAGGTTTTGATGGCTCAAGGTTTGCACCTCTTCATTGAGCCGAACAGAAAGCAGGTGGTCTCCAGCTCGTTCTGTTGCTGTCCCTGTGGCAAAGTGCTCTTGTTGAAGCAGAGCTGAGTCACGAAACTAGGAGTCTGCAAGATAAAGCGGCAGCTGTGATGCTTGTTTTTGTTCGCGCAAACTCCAGCAAGTCGCCGGCGGGATTCTCTCAGGACTCATGCTCAGAACGGAGGACTTCCCCCCATGCCAACAGGAATTTCAACATGCCCTCTTTCAACATCCCCCTACCCACTCAAATTTGGCAAGCAACGTGCGATGAGTTGAATCACCAAAAGGGAGACATGGTACCTCCGAGAGGCCTCTGAGGGCCCCAAGCCAGTGCCCCTAGATCTTGGGTATGGAGGGTGTTTCTCCCGTCCGTTTCCCGGGCTAAAGCCAAAAAACGGCGCTCAGGCCACGACTCGTGCCTGTCCTGCGAAAGCAAGGGACAAACTAAAGAGAGTTGGGCAAAGTTGGTTTCCAGAGTCCACTTCAAAGCAACCCAACATATTGTTGAAACAAGGAGGCTTTAAACATGCTGACCTCCTTTCTTCTCCAAATCCTAGCGAAAGAAAAGGTACCCGGTTTCCCTCCCGTCCACATGGACGCACCAAAGTCCAGGTCCCAGTGAGGTTCCATGTTGCTTTCCGCACAAAGGTTGAACCACTACTGGTTGCATTCCTTTTGGCTTTCTTGCGTCTTCATCCTGGAAAGAAGGCAACCCTCGGTTTAGCACATTCCCGCACGAGCGCAATGTGCGTAACATATTTGAGATACCTTCCGCATGGGATATATAGGAAGCTCGTGTATAAGCGCGCCATGGCTTTCGCACATGGTGTGCGCAAAGCAAGCAGGGGTCAAAGTAGGTTTTGAGGCCCCCATTGTGTTGGATATTTATAGAGGGTTACTCGTATACCTCCAAAATGGACAGACTCTTGGTTTTTTGAACCGAAGCTCATTTAGGTCCATGTCTGCGTGTTGTGTTGTTGGGGGACCCCGATGGTTTTCACGTTCGTTTCCCATCGAAACAAAACAAATACGTATATATATATATATGTAAATATACATATATATATATATATTATAAGTGTGTGTGTGTGGCTCTTGCAAGCTGGCAAACCGAACTGCTCCTTGCGGAGTTTGCTCGTGGTCTCCGGGGTCTTGTTGCACCACTCCTCCGAGCCCTGCGGCGGAAACTGTCTGCTTGATTTGGCGTAACGCCCCTTGTGAAGCCCGCAGGAACTCGCGACCTCAAGGCCTCAAGGTGTGAAGGTCTGGTTGATAAAATGTGTTCCAAAAGACCCAAAATACCTTTACCATTCATGTGTGTGTGTGTTTTGAATACTATGATTCCAAAAGCAGAGCTAACGGATCCCCAAATAAAGGACCTTCATCATGGTGAGCTCGTTATTCCGCCAGGTGAGCTCGCTATGAAACAGGCAGATGAATACAGATTCAGAGCAAGTGACAGCTAGTGCCATTGTTCGGGCACAATCAGGAGGTCATGAACTTCCCAAGGCTCCCCTTGCTTCTCTAAATCAGTTTTGAGATTCGGAGCAGTCTTAGAGATTCGGAGCCCTTCAAGCGGTTTTTGTGGAATCGCCCCTTTGATTCACCAACCGCGTTGATTACTGTGATTCGCCGACACTGGGGCAACAACCCTCAATGGGACCCCAACTCTAGGATCAAATAGGGCACATGGGGCACTTGCTTACTGATGCACCAAAAAGACGTCTCGCGGGTTCGCCCCTTAGCAGGTTTCTCTGGTGGCTACGAAAGATGCAACTTGCGCAAGGCTTGAGGTGTAAAAGGACACCTGAAAAGGTTAGTTCGTCTTGGACTTCTGCTTTTGGACAAGGCTCCTATGATCTCCTATGGTCCTATATCCCCTTTAAACAGCATCCCAACAAAAGAAAACTCACTTTAATTTAATAGAAACCACCACCACTCTTCAAGAAAAATATATAGGAAATCCGGTTTGCGCAGTCTCCGATTCGACTCTCCCAGGCAGATCTGCGCTCGCCTCAGTCTGTGAAGCTCCAGATTCCTCCTCGCGCGATTGCATCTCTGGGCCCGTTTCCAAGGGCAGCAATCAGAAAACGCCCAACTCCCAGCGAAGACGTTTTCCGAAATCGAAGCAACCCACCCCGCTTTGCTAGAGTGATCTACGCATATGACCGTGACTCACATGAAAACAACATAAAGCAACACAGACACATGGGTCTACCAAGCGCCTCATGGTGCGCTTGAGGGCCACAGCGGAACCCAAGAAGTGGTCTGACTCAAAGATTTCTGTCGTGGCGAGCTCCCCTTTTGGAAATCGGCTCCGAAACCAAACACTTCGCGAACCTGTGCCGTGATCAAAGCTTCTTGGGTCAAGATTTGGTAAAGGTAGATGCACAATTCCCAAGATATGTGGGCAAAGGGGGTGAATAAACCATGGCGAGCGAAACGTGCAATCTACTTTCACGAGAGCCCTTGCAAGGGTCGCCTGAATTTCTATGGGGTCCGTGACCACCCCAGCTAAGCCCCAATCACAAAGTTGCCCACTCGACGGACTCGTCTCCTTCTTGTCGACGCTCGACCTACAGGTGCGTAGTTGGATTCATGAAGTTGGTGAAAATTGGAGGGTTCCAGATGCCTCCCCCCCCCAAAAGAAAGAAAGAACGTAGAGATTCATTCAACATGGGCAAACAACAATTAAGATCAACTGCGCATTCTCTGCGGCAAGGAAACCTGTATTCCCGTTCAAAGTTGGCGCAAAACAAAACGTACACTTGACTCGTGCCCTCGCCGAACAGGTGTATAGGTGTATGAGTGTGTGTGTGTGTGCGTGCGTGTGTCTGCAAGTTCGTGAGGGAAATCAAAGGGATGCTCTCTCAACCGCGGTGAACACATATATGCTCAAAGCTTGAGCAAAGGTAGGCCCACCTCTTGCCCGTTCATTTTTCCAAAACTGACACACAACTCTCTCTTGTAGCAGCAGCAGCAGCACATCTTGGGCTGAGGCCTGTAGGCCGCAGACTCGCGATGTGCGGACTGCAAAGGTGCGACATCGCGCTCGAGCAAGCTGCCTGCACATGGCATCGATCGGAGAAAACGTATCTGTCCGGGCATGCGTGCTTCCGACACTTGGGCTTACATTCCCGGACCGAGCGAATGGTACTTCCAGCCTTGTCTTGAAGCTGCACTGTTCCTGGGCCAAGCGAACACGTGCGCCAGGCAAATGCGAACTTAATTAACATACTGCACGGTGATCACAACGCAGCATGTATGCCCTACTATCTACTGTCGTGTTCATGTGTGTGTAGGTAGCACGGTCCAGCACTGATTGAACAACTATAAAGATAGGTCCCGCACTAATTGAACAAACTGAAAGTAAGTCACGTCTGCCACCTCTCCTGCGTGTTGAACATTGAACTCTACCTGGCCGCGCCTCTGTGAAAGACTTCCGGCGCGGCCATCTGAGCGGAGCGAGTTGCGGGCATCCTCATCCGAGAAGATCATCGAGACGCCTGCGCCGACATGAAATTGCCGCGAAAACTCTGCCAAAGGAAGGCACAACAGAGCATACTCGAGGCATCTCTTCTGTAGCGACGCCTTGTCGAGGGGGTGCGTTGCTGTGCCTGCGGCGCCACGCTTCCCGGTTGCATGATGTACTGTTTCAGCTCGCCAGTGCTGTGCCTACTGCCCTTTGACATCAAGCTGCTTGACAAAATGTCATATGAACAGGGAACAAGGAGGCAAGTAGATGGCTTTCCAGGTTCAACCACCATCCATGTGTTGCTTCCATTTGTTTGCGAAAAGGGGTGGAAAATCAGGGTAACAACCCTTTAAGTCCGTGCCCCAGGATAGGTACCCCTAGAAATTATGGCCCTAAACTTGCTTCTGTACCCTTTACGGCCTGTGGTGTACCTGGGCTTGCCTGATTTGGGGGCACCTACTCAGGGTACGTGATAACAAAATGCCACAGCAAGGGAAGCAACGATCAGCTGGCGGGCTGGTTCCTTCCGTGTCCGCCGCGCCTCTGCGAAAGGCTTGGCTGGAGCGAGTTGCGGCCGTCATCCGAGAAGATCATCGAGACGCCTGCGCAGGCGCCTTTGGGATACCCACAGACTTGCCGCGCAACGGAAAAAAAACACATGTTCAAACCGCTGGACAAGCACCCTGGATTTAGCCTCGCTATAATTTCATGGGGGTCAAAGTTTTGTTGGGGTTCTCTTAAAAGTAGGCCACAGTTTCTTTCTTCCTCCCAATTGTTGCAACCTACTCGAGACATCGCGACGCCTTGTCGAGGCGGCGCAGCGCTGTACCTGCGCAAGTCTTCGCAAAATGTGTCTCGCTTGAGTGGATGGGCCAAACAACTCGTTTCACCTATATGCTTGCATCAAAATACGGGGACCCTCAAAATGGTTGTTCCTTTTGTTCCCCTTCAAAACCACCACAAAAAGGGTACCAACTTCAAAAAACGACACACCCGTGCAAATATAAAGTCCAAACACTCCGGAAGTGAAACCTTTCAACTTTGCCAAGTCAGGCGAGGCTTTCAGATAAAGGCTCCAGCTCCCTGTCAACAACGAAACCCTGCAAAGAATTGACGGTAGCTGCTTGGCTCAGTTGGACATTTCTTTTACTTGCTTAAGGCGAAAGCGATCATGTTTACGCCAGGGTGAAAGCGGATGGCACAACTCCCTTTCCCTGGGCAATTAAACAGGATGACCAAACACAAAGGGGGGAATTGTGCCGACCCAGGACGTTTCTTCTCAAGAATACCTGGACCCTCAAAAAGGAACATTTTTTTGCTCATTACGTTATTTTTGCTCATTTTGCCAATTGAGCGGAATTTCCGAAATCTACGCGGAAACTGCAAATTTCATGTTCCGCACCCATTTTGTGGCAAATCCTGCGAATTTGGCCACCAGAAATGCGCGGAAATCGGCGGAAAATGCGCGGAAATCGGCGGAAAATGCGCGGAAATCGGCGGAGAATGCGCGGAAATCGGCGGAAAGCCCAAAACCAACTTGTTTTGAACATGGCTGGTCGAACCGAAATGTGTGTTTTTTGGGTAAATGAGCGTGTTTTCCAACAATGCGTGTTTTTTTTGCTTTTTAAGGAACATGTTGGGAAATTGTTCTCAAAGAAGATCTAGGTATAAGCTGCAAGCTCCAGAAACAAAATCCAAGAAGTTAGCCAAAAACGCACAAACCCGAGGATTCTGATCATTTCCTAGAGACATTCCTTTCGTAGACGCTCGTTGTCCCAGAGAGAAGTATGACGTCGGAAAACGACGTAAGCAAAACCAAGATCAAAAGAGGTTCCTCACCACAGGTTTTTTTCTTTTATTTGCAGCACAAGCCCCAGAAGCTGTGCCTTCGCTTTACATCTGCGGCTTACAGGGCCAAAACAGCTTCTTTACTTCGTCCGGAGATCAAATACAAATTCCGGGATGGGCATGCAACACAGAAACTGGCAGCCATGATCAGTATGTAAGCCTTCAGGGAGACATACTGCTAAGAGTTCCATTATGGTTCCATATCTCAGCCCAGAAGTGGTCATTGACTCCCCTATAATTTAACATGAAACCCATAGAACACGCCCATTTCTAGAGAAAGCTCCTTTTGGGGGCAGGCCCCTTTTGGGGTTTCCTGCTACTTAGCTGGGGAGGAAGGCTTGATTGCCGGATATTGCCGGGGACATCTCAGACAGCCGGCTCCCACCTCGCGCCAAGTTCGTTCGCTGCGACCTCCTCGATGCAGCTCCCTGCACCGCCGGGCGCCGGGAGTCACCCATCAAGGTAAAGTATAATAGTTCACCAACCTGAAATAAGGTGGTTGGGGGCTTCTTCCCCACACAAACCACCATTTGGGGTGAGGTCGTGTGAGGTCTTTATAATTCACCCAGACCCATCCCTTGTTCGTGTCCTTTGGGGAAGATAAAGCACATGACCTGGCAGCTGCTGGGTAACCTCCAGTTTGCGCACGTGGTCGTTGCTGTGGGGCGGTCGGCCTTCCGTTTCGCTGAAGACCAGATACATTCCTGGAGCGGGTAAGACACGTTCCCAGCCTTGTCCTGACGCTGCGCTGTTCCTGGCAAGCCGGGCAAATCGGCAATCCAACATGAAGCATCATGCAGAAATCTCTCTTACTGACCCTCCACAG